GATTTTATTTTCTCTGGTGACATCTATTAAGCCTTAGGAGTGCTTCCATCTAGAGAAGTCCCTCTAAAATACCCTGTAGAGGTAGGTGGTTTGTGTGAGGCAAATTCCCTCAACTTTAGCTTGTGTGGGAATTGTTTAATCCCTCCTTCATATTTAAATGATAATCGTGCTGGATACAGTATTCTGGGTTCAAGGCCCTTCTGTTTCATTGCATTAAGTATATCATGCCATTCTCTCCTGGCCTCTAAGGTTTCTGTTGAGAAGTCTGATGATAGCCTGATGGGTTTTCCTTTGTAGGTGACCTTTTTTCTCTCTCTGGCTGCCTTTAATACTCTGTCCTTGTCTTTGATCTTTGCCATTTTAATTATTATGTGTCTTGGTGTTGTCCTCCTTGGGTCCCTTCTGTTGGGAGTTATGTGTGCTTCCATGGTCCTAGAGACTATTTCCTCTGCCAGTTTGGGGAAGTTTTCAGCAATTATTTCTTCAAATACACTTTCTATCCCTTTGTCTCTCTCTTCTTTTTCTGGTACCCCAATAATGCGGATATTGTTCTATTTGATTTGGTCACACAGTTCTCTTAATATGCTTTCATTCCTGGAGATCCTTTTATCTCTCTCTGTGTCAGCTTCTCTGCATTCCTGTTCTCTGATTTCTAGTCCATTAATGGTCTGCATCTCGTCCATTCTGCTTTGAAGTCCTTCCAGCGATTATTTTATTTCTGTATTCTCCCTCCTTAGCTCTTGCATATTTCTCTGCAAGTCCATCAGCATGGTTATGACTTTTATTTTGAATTCTTTTTCAGGAAGATTGGTTAAATCTATCTCCCAAGATTCCTTCTCAGGGGAGGATGTGGAGGATGTCTGGGTTAGTCTGGTCTGGATGAAATTTTTCTGCCTTTTCATGTTGATAGATGCAGTGGTGTGCTGTTGGCTCATCTGTCAGCTGCGAGAACCAAGACCCTTTCCACTTGCTCCTGGCCTTTCTTTCCTGGGACAATGGTGACCCCTAGGGGCTTGTGTTGGGCAGTTGCGTGTAGACTGGGTCTGTTTCCTGCCTGGCCGCTATGGAGGAACCTCCCTTGCTGTGCACATGGCCAGCCTCAGGCTGCTGCTCTGTTATGACAGGGCCGTGCTGGAGGGGGAATGGGCCCCGGGGCTGTTTATCACCATGAGGGGTCTCAGAGCTGCACTGCTGCCCAGGGGGTTATGGTGCCCAGAGTTCCCCAGGATTCCCAGCTGCTAGGCTAAGTGTCCTGGGATGTTTCCATCCAGCTGTGGGGGTCCCTGTCTCTTTAAGATTTTCAAAAAGCACTCTTTTTTTGTCCCAGGGGTGCCAGCTGCAGGGACCCGCTGGCAGGTTTTACTGTCCTGTTTTGCTAGTTTTCCACACTCCTCACAGTGTGTCTGTGCTCTGGGTGCGGATGACTAGGGCTGGGTGTTTAGCAGTCCTGGGCTCCCTCTCCCTCCCCGCTCCGACTCCTCTCCTCCCGCCCGGAGCTGGGGTGAGGAGTGCTCAGTTCCTGCCAGGCCGGAGCTTGCATCTTACCCCCTTCATGAGGTGCTGGGTTCTCACGGGTGTGGATGTAGTCTGGCTGTTGTTCTGTGTTTTCTGGTCTCTCTTTTAGGAATAGTTGTATTTGTTGTATTTTCAAAAATATATATTTTTGGAGAATATTCCCACTGTCCTACTCATGCCGCCATCTTGGCTCCACCTCTGCTCCTCCTTATATTTTGTACACTACCCACCCCCTTGCCTCACCCCAGCCCTGGCCCTGCTTTTCAGAGCTCCATGCTTTTGGAGTCATTCTTCCCACCCCAACACTCTTACTTCTTCTCTATCTTACCAACTCTCATACAGTCTTTAAGACCAAGATAAAGGGTCACCTCCTCTGAGTTGTTCCCCACCGACCCACCAAATCTCCTCTGTCCCCTTAACATCCTGTACACCCCTCCATCACACTGGCCCCAATGGCTGGTTTACTTTCCAGCCTCCACCACCAGCCTGGAGTCTTTGAGGGCAGTTTGTTGAATGACTAAAAGAGGGACTGAGTGAATCAATCAGAAAAGGGGGTGTGGCCCAGAGCCCTTTAATGACCTTCCTGTAAAATTGTGCAGGTACTAGCAGTTGAAACTGATGCTCAGAAGCAGGCAATGAGGTCCCCATCAAGTGATCAAGGTGAGGTTGCAGAAGAAAGGGGGATAGAAGATGGAGCCTGATGGCCAGCTCTGTTTCTCTAACTCTGATCTTGCCCAGATTTTCCTCTGGTGGGCAACTGGTATAGGCATCATCCCACCACCATGCCCCTGCTTCTGAGCCTCAAAGTATTATGCCTCTGTGATAAAAATCCCAAACCTCAGTAAGACATTTGAGGCCCCTTTGGATCTGGCCCCTGATCACCATCTAGCCTCAGCTCTCAGCATCCTTGTGCTCTACCTTCCAACTGCTCTGAACTATTTGAATTTTCTTGAAGTTTTCCTGCTGTCTCCTACCTTGGAGGCCTTTGCCCAGGCTGTTCCTCTTCCTAGAATGCTCCTTTCCTCTCTCTTGCCTGTTCAGTCCTTCATGTCACCTCCTCCAAGGAAGCCCTTGCTGCTCCAGTCTGAGTGAGGCACATTCCTCTACCCTATGATCATACCCCTAGCTTGGCTCCTAGCCTACTGTAACTATTGTCATCTCTAAATGCACAGCTCATCTTCCTTGGAGGCACTGTATCCTGGGCCCTGTTCTCTGCATCTTACATAATTTACATAATTGAACCCCATGCATTGGGTATTAGTTATATCCTTATTTTACAAATGGAGAAATGGAGGCTCAGAGAGATTCAGGTTATCTTAGTTTCCTATGCTGCACAAGGAACCACTACAAACACGGCAACTTAAAACAACCCAGGTATGAGCTCAGAGTCTGGGCACAGCTAAGCAGAGTCTTGTGCTCAGGCCCTCACCAGGCCGCACTCCAGGTGTTAGAGGGGCTGGGGGTCTCATCTGGAGCTGGGACCCTCTTCTAAGCTTGCTGAGTGTGTTGGCAGAATTCAATGTCTTGCTACTGTGATACTGAGGTCACTCTTCTTCATGCAGTTCACAGTGTGGCTGTGTGCTTCCTCAACGCCAGCAGGAGATGCTTCAGTAAGGGCCCAGTCCCCTCTTCAATGGCTTTCATCTGATTAAGTCAGGCCCACCCAGGATAAGCTCCCTTTTGAAGAACTCAGAATCAACTGATTTGGGACCTTAATTACATCTGCAAAATCTCTTTATGTTTAACATTAAAGGTCACCTAATCCTAGGAGTGACTTCCCTTCATAGTCATAGGCACCCTCCATGCCCTATGGAGGGGATTAAACAGGTGTGTAGGCTGGAGTATTAGGAACCTGCCTACCACACACAGCTGGCAAAGTGACAGGTCAGAAGCACCTCTTCTTACTCTGAAGTCTGTGTCTTTAATCCTGCTGAGGCAAAGGACATAAGCACTAAATACCACAGATATCAGGAAGACCAAGCTGGGTACCGTGCATGAAGTATCTAACCCAGCCCCTGGCCCACCGTGGGCGCTTCACACTCTCAAGTCTCCCCATCCCCAGAGGCCTAGACAGTGGCTTAGAGGCCTCTCTGCTTCCATACTCAGCAAGAGGAGGCACTTGGAGGAGCCTCCAGGTGGGGGGAAATTGACACATAATTCTTTGACCACATAGGTTGAATTCTGTGCCTGGCTAGAAAAGGGAACCCAACAGAAAGATCTTCTCATACCCCCGTGCTCCTAGTCACACCATCAGAATATAACATTAATTTACCCTTCTCACTCCCCTCCACCCCTTAATCTCACTCTCTCTCCCCCCACAAAGAAAGGCACAAAGTCAGGAATTGATGCTGCATCTTTTTTTTTTTTCACTTTTGCCTTCTTAAAGCATGTGCTGAGCTGATGGACGAAGCAGTTTCACAATTAAAAAGGCCCAGCAGCTTGGGCAGCAGCAGGGGGAGGTCAGGGAGAGGGAGGGGAGACCCCTCTTTCCCGAGCCAGGGAGTAGCAAAGCCCGCACTAACTTCATAAAATATAAAACAAGGGAGGGGTGAAGGTAGGAGGGAGACTTGTAAAATACAATATCTTAGGGGATTGGCAATAATAAAAAATAAGGTTCATTATTTACAAACAATTTCTGTTCTTGGACTCTGTACAGTGGGGGTGGGCATGAGGGGTGTGGGTTGGTATGTTGACATGTGTTTGTGTGTGTGTGTATGGGGGGTAGGGAAGGAGTGGTCATGTTGGTTATTATGAGAAAGGAGGGGATAGCCCAGTAAGTGATTTATCTGGGAAGGACGGATGATTGTGGGAGGGAGGGGTGAGAATGACAGAGTGGTTGGCCCAAGGGAACAGTCCAAATGTGGGGGCAGGGGTGGGAGGGTGGGGAGGAGAGACCCCGGTTAAGACCCAGGGCAAAGAAGGCTGGGAAGAAGTGGAGCCCTTTCTCCTGGGATGGGACCCCAAGGGGCAAGGGTACGAGCTGGATCTGGGTTGGTGAGCAAGACGACCCCTCTTCCAGGTGCCAGGGGTATGTCCTGTGTCCTGGGTATTGGCACAGCCTAGGAGAGTTTGATGGTGGTGTTGGGGCCCAGATCCCTGGAGAGAGAACAGAAGTCAGGGTGACTCCATCCAGTGAGGAGCCTCTTACCCCTCTGCAAGTTGGATCTGGATATGTAAGGGATGGGGCCTTGGGAGGGTGTGGCTGATATGGGGATTAGGGACAGGCTGAGGGCAGGCAGAGCCTGGGACCCCAGGAAGGGGTGGGGTCCCCCACTCACCTCTCGTGGAACCACTCCTCAGGGTGGGAGAAGTCAGGGCTGGTGCTGTTCCCACCAGCATCTTTGGGCCAGGCCTCACTCAGGTACTTGGTGGTCTCATGGGTGCTGTCCAGGTGGTCATGCTGCAGGTGGTCCTGGGGTTGCTGATCTGCCGGCCCCCCTGGCTTGATTTCCCAGCCATCAGGGGACTCCACAGGTAGCAGGGCACTGTGGCCATCCTCCCATGAGCCTGCCCCCTCATCATAGAACAGGAGGCTTCGGGAGGGCACTGAAGAGGGAGCTTGGGGTGAGCCATGGTACCAGAAGTCCTGTCCCTGTTCTGGCTTCTTTCATGGTCTGCTAGTTAAGGACATGGGCCCTGAATCTAAATCTCAGTTTTAACAGTTGTAGGCTCTGTGATTTCAGGTGAGTCATGACTTTGCTTTAACCTTTCTGACCCTCAGTTTGCTCATCTGTAAAATAGGGATACTAGGACCAGCCTCACAGAGATATGAAGTTCAAATGAGTTAATATAGGGGAGGTGACTGGAGATGTTTATTTAGGAAGTAGTCAGGGAAAACAGCTCTTCCTGGGCAGAGGATAACCAGCTGAGGCAGTCATAATCCTACCTCTACTGCTCCCCTTCTGTGAGACCTTGAATAAATCTCTTCTTCATTCTAGGCCATAGTGTGACTTTTGGGGAAATAAAGGAAAACAAAACACATCTGTGGGATATGTACTACGTGCCAGGCATTGTGCAAAGCCTTTTAACCAATACCAAATCATTGACATCTCATAGAAACTCTTCCAAATGAGATAGTTTTAGCTCCATTTCACAGAACAGGTAATTGAGGTTCCAGTTATCAGGTACATTGTCCTGGATGGTCTGCACTGAACATGAGAGGCAAACCCATGTTTGCCAGCCTCCAGGATCCACTACCACCCTTCACTACCACCCTTCTAGCTCTCAGGGCCCTGACCTAACAGTCATGCAGTGCACCAGCTCTGTAAGCCAGCCTGCTCCAAAAGTCACTTGTCATATACCTCCTCTTTGCCCTGCCCAGGTACTGGGCCTGTAACCCACTGCATTTGCTCTGAGGGACTCATTCATTCTCTTTCCCCCTCTGACTCTGGATTGGATCATCAATACTGCTCCCACCCACTTCCATTCCTTCCTCTTCTCCAGCTTCCTCTATGTCCAAACACAGATGGGCCCCTCTGGCCTTGGAAAAACAGACACATGGCTCTCAAGATCTTACATCCCTGCCACCCACCTCCCTTAGCAGCTGTCCTGCTCTCCCATCTCCTCAGGCTACACTTGTCCAGGGAGTGGTTCTCACTGTCCGCCTCCACTTCCTCTTCCCTTGGCCCTCCCCACACCACTTCCTCTCCCCAGGGCTCTGTAGGCTGTGGGGAACCCTCTGAGTATCCCTCCTTCTCGAAACAACTCCTCCCCGGCTCTTCTCTCTGTCCTTCCACCTGTTTCCTCTTCCTCCTTCTGCCCTCCCTGATAACTTGCCCCTGGTTTGTGATGAGGGACTGTCAGGAAGTTCCTCTGAAGGTCTACCTGAAATACCTTCTGCCTCTAGAAAGCCATACTGTTCTTTGCTGTACTCATACCAGTTCTCGCCTTGCCCACCATGCGTTGTATCTTTTCTCTCTTCTTGTGAGCTCTTCAAAAAGGGAGTGAGTGTGCTCATCCAGTAAGTGCCTGCTCTGTACTAAGAGCTAAGAGCATTCATGCACCATGTCATTTATTCATCACAACAACCATGCTTAGTAAGTGCCGAACTGTGACTCCCATTCTTCAGATGAAGAAATTAAAGTTTAGAGAGCTTAAGACACATGCCAAAGGTCACAAGTTAGCAAGTGGCAGTGGCAGGTATGACTACGTTTCATGCTCTTAAGCACTGTACCTCACAATCCCCTGTGGGATGGTTGATACTGCTACTATCCCTTTTCTGCCTAAGGCAGACATTACCAATGGATCATGGCACTTGTTCCTCTGGATCCTGAGTGGTACCTCAGAGTCCTTATTAACACAGTGCTTTAGACATCTACCACCATCTTAATGGAAATGGCCCTGGGGCTGGAAGTCATTTGATATCACTGTTGTGAAATACTAATGGTGTTTAGCAGATGCTCCATAATCATCAACACCTTAGAACACAGGGGCTAGGGTGATAAATTCCTGTTTTCCTTAAACCCTACCTCCCCCAAGCACTTCCTGGAGGTGCTGGGAATTGGGGAGTCTGCACTATAGTCCCAATTCTACAATTAACATTGAACAAATCATAGACCCTTGGGGGCCTCAGTTTTCCCATCTTCAAAATGAGGAGGTAGAATGAGAGATGCCAACCCAAAACTTGGCTCCTATCTTATGTGTGGCTTCTACCTAGAAGATGGGGCTGAGGGAGGGCAGCTCAGCTCAGGGTACGTACTCTGACTGGCTGTGTAGATACTGTCAGTGGCCACGGGGTCTTCCTTCACAGTCTGGGAGCTGGAGGAGAACTCAGGGAGACAAGGCATGAGGGAGCCCAGCACCAGAACGAAGCACAAGGCTGCCACCTGGTAGTGGAGAGAGCGTGGTGGTCATGTCGGACAGCGAGAGACTGCAACCCTTGCTATCCCTAATCCTCCTCCCCCAAAACCAGTGGGTGCAAAAGACTCAGTATTTTTCCAAGAAAGCAGCTCTCAGAGCCAACTACACCCTCTCCTCTCTGGAAAAGGTGGAGGAGGCTGATCAGATCATCTCAGCCTATTGTAGGGGGGCCACCACATGCAGTACTAGAAAAAGGAGAGTGGCTAACGTGGTTATTGCCTAGAAGGTGATATCACAAAAGGAAGAGAAAGGGAGGAGAAGCCAAGATGGCGGCATGAGTAGAGCAGTGGAAATCTTCTCCCAAAACCATATATATTTTTGAAAATACAACAAATACAACTATTCCTAAAAGAGAGACCAGAAGATACAGTACAACAGCCAGGCTACATCTACACCTGTGAGAACCCAATGCCTCATGAAGGGGGTAAGATACAAGCCATGGCCTGGCGGGACCTGAGCGCACCCCTCACCCCAGTTCCTGGTGGAAGAACAGGAGTTGGAGTGGGGAGGGAATGGGAGCCCAGGACTGCTAAATACACAGCCCTAGCCATCCACACTGGGAGCGCAGACACACAGTGTGTGGTGTGCTGGATACTGGGGAAATGGAACAGTAAAACCTGTGAGCGGGTCCCCACAGACGGCACTCCTGGGACAAAAGAAAAGCGAGTGCTTTTCGAAAGTCTTAAAGGGACAGGAGCCTCACAGCTGAATGGAAGCGTCCCGGCACACTCAGCCCAGCAGCTGGGAATCCCAGGGAACTACGGGTGCCCTAACTCCCTGGGTGGCAGCACAGCTCTGAGGCCCCTCATGGCAACAGCCTCCTGCCTGTTCCCACACTGGCACGGCCCGCCTTAGTGGAGCAGCAGCCTGAGACCGGCCACGCCCACAGCAGCCGCACAGAGCCTCCCCTGCAGCCACCCGGGCCAGAATCAGAGACCCCGTCGGTGCACAGCTGCCCAACACAAGCTGCTAGGGGTCGCTGTTCTCACAGGAGAGGAAGTGACGAGCAAGCAGGAAGGGACTTTGTTCTCCCAGCTGACACACGTGCCAACTGCCCATGACTACCTCTATTGCCATGAAAAGACAGAAGAATTTGATTGAGACCAGAATCACACAGACATCCCCTGAGGGGGAACCTGGGGTGATAGATTTAACCAATCTTCCTGAAAAAGAATTCAAAATAAAGGTCATAACCATGCTGATGGAGCTGCAGAGAAAAATGCAAGAGCTAACAGATAAAGTAGGGAGGAAGAAAACAGAAATAAAACAATCTCTGGAAGGACTTCAGAGAAGAATGGATGAGGTGCAAGAGGCCATTAATGGAATAGATATCAGAGAACAGGACCACAGAGAAGCTGACACAGAGAGAGATAAAAAGATCTCCAGGAATGAAAGAATATTAAGAGAACTGTGTGACCAAATCAAATGGAACAATATCCGCATTATTGGGGTACCAGAAAAAGAAGAGAGAGAAAAAGGGATAGAAAGTATATTTGAAGAAATAATTGCTGAAAACTTCCCCAAACTGGCAGAGGAAATAGTCTCTAGGACCATGGAAGCACACATAACTCCCAACAGAAGGGACCCAAGGAGGACAACACCAAGACACATAATAATTAAAATGGCAAAGATCAAAGACAAGGACAGAGTATTAAAGGCAGCCAGAGAGAGAAAAAAGGTCACCTACAAAGGAAAACCCATCAGGCTATCATCAGACTTCTCAACAGAAACCTTAGAGGCCAGGAGAGAATGGCATGATATACTTAATGCAATGAAACAGAAGGGCCTTGAACCCAGAATACTGTATCCAGCACGATTATCATTTAAATATGAAGGAGGGATTAAACAATTCCCACACAAGCTAAAGTTGAGGGAATTTGCCTCACACAAACCACCTACCTCTACAGGGTATTTTAGAGGGACTTCTCTAGATGGAAGCACTCCTAAGGCTTAATAGATGTCACCAGAGAAAATAAAATCACAGCAAAGAAAGCAAACCAACCAAATCCTAACTAAAGGCCAAAAATAAAATCAACTACCCACAAAAGCAGTCAAAGGAAACACAAAAGAGCACAAAATAAAACACCAAACATATAAAGAATGGAGGAGGAGGAATAAGAAGGGACAGAAGTAAAGAATCATCAGACTGTGTTTATAATAGCTCAATAAGCAAGTTAAGTTAGGTGGTAAGATAGTAAAGAAGCTAACCTTGAACCTTTGGTAACCACGAATCTAAAGCCTGCAATGGCAATAAGTACATATCTTTCAATAATCACCCTAAATGTAAATGAATTGAATGCACCAATCAAAAGACACAGAATAACAGAATGGATAAAAAAGCAAGACCCATCTATATGCTGCTTACAAGAGACTTACCTCAAACCCAAACACATGCACAGACTAAAAGTCAAGGGATGGGAAAAGATATTTCATTCAAACAACAAGGAGAAAAAAGCAGGTGTTGCAGTACTAGTATCAGACAAAATAGACTTCAAAACAAAGAAAGTAACAAGAGATAAAGAAGGACATTACATAAATGATAAAGGAGTCAGACCAACAAGAGGATATAACCATTATAAATATATATGCACCCAATACAGGAGCACCAACATATGTGAAACAAATACTAGCAGAATTAAAGGAGGAAATAGAATGCAATGCATTCATTTTAGGAGACTTCAACACACCATTCATTCCAAAGAACAGATCCACCAGACAGAAAATAAGTAAGGACACAGAGGCACTGAACAACACGCTAGAATAGATGGACCTAACAGACATCTATAGAACTCTACACCAAAAATCAGCAGGATACACATTCTTCTCAAGTGCACATGGAACATTCTCCAGAATAGACCACATACTAGGCCACAAAGAGCCTCAGTAAATACAAAAAGATTGAAATCCTACCAACCAACTTCTCAGACCACAAAGGAATAAAACTAGAAATAAATTGTACAAAGAAAGCAAAAAGGCTCACAAACACATGGAGACTAAACAACATGCTCCTAAATAATCAATGGATCAACGACCAAATTAAAATACAGATCAAGCAATATATGGAAACAAATGACAACAACAACACAAAGCCCCAACCTCTGTGGGATGCAGCGAAAGCAGTCTTAAGAGGAAAGTATATAGCAATCCAGGCATATTAAAGAAGGAAGAACAGTCCCAAATGAATAGTCTAAAGTCACAATTATCGAAACTGGAAAAAGAATAACAAATGAGGCCTAAAGTCAGTAGAAGGAGGGACAGAGAAGAAATAAATAAAATTGAGGAGAATAAAACAATAGAAAAAAAATCAATGAAACAAAGAGCTAGTTCTTTGAGAAAATAAACAAAATAGATAAGCCTCTAGCCAGACTTACAAAGAGAAAAAGAGAATCAACACACATCAGCAGAATCAGAAACGAGAAATGGACCCCACAGAAATACAAAGAATTATTAGAGAATACTATGAAAATCTATATGCTAACAAGCTGGAAAACCTGTAAGAAATGGACAACTTCCTAGAAAAATACAACCTTCCAAGACTGACCAAGGAAGAAACACAAAATCTAAACAGACCAATTACCAGCAATGAAATTGAAGCAGTAATCAAAAAATTACCTAAGAGCAAAACCCCTGGGCCACATGGATTTACCACGGAGTTTAATCAGACATTCAGAGAAGATATAATACCCATTCTCCTTAAAGTTTTCCAAAAAATAGAAGAGGAGGGAATACTCCCAAACTCATTCTATGAAGCCAACATCACCCTAATACCAAAACCAGGCAAAGACCCCACCAAAAAAGAAAATTACAGACCAATATCCCTGATGAATGTAGATGCAAAAATACTCAATAAAATATTAGCAAACAGAATTCAACAGTATATCAAAAGGATCATACACCATGACCAAGTGGGATTCATCCCAGGGATGCAAGGATGGTACAACATTCGAAAATCCATCAACATCATCCACCACATCAACAAAAAGAAAGACAAAAACCACATGATCATCTCCATAGATGCTGAAAAAGCATTTGACAAAATTCAACATCCATTCATGATAAAAACTCTCAGCAAAATGGGAATAGAGGGCAAGTACCTCAACATAATAAAGGCCATATATGATAAACCCACAGCCAGCATTATACTGAACAGCGAGAAGCTGAAAGCATTTCCTCTGAGATCGGGAACCAGACAGGGATGCCCACTCTCCCCACTGTTATTTAACATAGTACTGGAGGTCCTAGCCACGGCAATCAGACAAAACAAAGAAATACAAGGAATCCAGATTGGTAAAGAAGTCAAACTGTCACTATTTGCAGATCACATGATATTGTACATAAAAAAAACCCTAAAGATTCCACTCCAAAACTACTAGAACTAATATCGGAATTCAGCAAAGTTGCAGGATACAAAATTAATACACAGAAAGCTGAGGCTTTCCTATACACTAACAATGAACTAATAGAAAGAGAAATCAGGAAAATAATTCCATTCACAATTGCATAAGAATAAAATACTAGGAATATACCTAACCAAGGAAGTGAAAGACCTATACCCCAAAAACTACAAGACACTCTTAAGAGAAATTGAAGAGGACACTAACAAATGGAAACTCATCCCATGCTCCTGGCTAGGAAGAATTAATATTGTCAAAATGGCCATCCTGCCCAAAGCAATTTACAGATTCAATGCAATCCCTATCAAATTACCAACAGCATTCTTCAACAAACTGGAATAGTTCAAAAATTCATATGGAAACTCCAAAGACCCCAAATAGCCAAACCAATCCTGAGAAGGAAGAATAAAGTGGGGGGTATCTTGCTCCCCAACTTCAAGCTCTACTACAAAGCCACAGTAATCAAGACAATTTGGTACTGGCACAAGAACAAAGCCACAGATCAGGGGAAGAGAATAGAGACTCCAGACATTAACCCAAACATATATGGTCAATTAATATACAATAAAGGAGCCATGGATATACAATGGGGAAATGACAGCCTCTTCAACAGCTGGTGTTGGTAAAACTGGACAACTATATGTAAGAGAATGAAACTGGATCATTGTCTAACCCCATACAGAAAAGTAAATTCAGAATGGATCAAAGACCTGAATGTAAGTCATGAAACCATAAAACTCTTAGAAAAAAACATGGGCAAATATCTCCTGGACATAAACATGAGTGACTTCTTCATGAACACATCTCCCCAGGCAAGGGAAACAAAAGTAAAAATGAACAAGTAGGAGTATATCAGGCTGAAAAGCTTCTGTACAGCAAAGGACACCACCAATAGAACAAAAAGGCCTCCTACAGTATGGGAGAATATATTCATAAATGACAGATCCAATAAAGGGTTGACATCCAAAATATAAAAAGAGCTCATGCACCTCAACAAACAAAAAGTGAACAATCCAGTTAAAACATGGGCAGAGAAGCTAAACAGACACTTCTCCAAAGAAGAAATTCAGATGGCCAACAGACACATGAAAAGATGCTCCACATTACTAGTCATCAGAGAAATGCAAATTAAAATCACAATGAGATGTCACCTCACGCCAGTAAGGACAGCCACCATCCAAAAGACAAACAACAACAATGTTGGCGAGGTTGTGGAGAAAGGGGAACCCTCCTACACTGCTGGTGGGAATGCAAATTAGTTCAACCATTGTGGAAAGCAGTATGGACATTCCTCAAAATGCTCAAAATAGAAATACCATTTGACCCAGGAATTTCACTTCTAGGAATTTACCTTAATAATGCAGCAGTCCAGTTTGAAAAAGACAGATGCACCCTTATGTTTATTGCAGCACTATTTACAACAACCAAGAAATGGAAGCAGCCTAAGTGTCCATCAGTAGATGAATGGATAAAGAAGATGTGGTACATATACACAATGGCATACTATTCAGCCATAAGAAGAAAACAAATCCTACCATGTGCAACAACATGGATAGAGCTAGAGGGTATTATGCTCAGTGAAATAAGCCAGGTGGAGAAAGACAAGTACCAAATGATTTCACTCATCTGTGGAGTATAAGAACAAAGAAAAAACTGAAGGAACAAAACAGCAGCAGAATCACAGAACCCAAGAATGGACTAACAATTACCAAAGGGAAAGGGAGGAATAAGGTGGGGGGGAAGAAAGGGAGCATTAACATTAGCATGTATAATGTGGGGGGGGGCATGGGGAGGGATGTGCAACACAGAGAAGAAAAATAGTGATTCTACAGCATCTTACTATGTTGATAGACAGTGATTGCAATGGGGATTGCGGGGGGGACTTGTTGAGGGGGGAACCTGGTAAACATAATGTTCCTCATATAATTGTAGATTAATGATATAAAAAAAAAAAGTAAAAAGAAGGGAGAGAGGGATAGGTCAAGGTGGAGGGTGGGGCTGGGACAAGGTGGGGAACATAGCATCACACCAGATTATCAGCAGGAGGAACTAAGAGTCACAAAGCCCAGACTGTCCCCTGCCCACATCGTGGCTCGGTCCCCTGAAAGCACAGGGACCTCAGAGGGTCTGGGGAGTGATTGACAGGCTGGACATTTCCAGGACAGAGTAGAAGAACAACTAGCAGAGGCCTGAGCCACACCCTGGGGGCTCCTGGTTTTTTTTTTTTTTTTGTATCATTAATCTACAATTACATGATTAACATTATGTTTACTGCTCCTGGGTTTTTAGAGATTTGCTCAGCCCTCTCCCCACCATTAATTTCAGAAAGAACTAAGTACATGCTTCTGTGTATCTCCCCAAGCCCTTCACCCCACAAGGTGTAGAAGCGTCTCTTCAAGGGACTGCCATCCCCTAGCTCAGTTCATGTGAGTCACTACACATCACACTGTGTGATAACTGGTCAGGGAAGGTCATGTTCTAGAAGGCTCCATGGACTTGGTGAAAGACACTGGGCTCTGCTGGAGCCACCCACCAGGCACTAGGAAGGTGTATCCCAGTGGTGTTGCCCACAATGTGGCCAGTCCTTCAGAGCTCTGCCCACCCACCTGAAAGCCAGTGTGGGGAAGATCTGTCCCCCTGTGGCCCTGCAGTGAGGAAGCGGCACCTACCATGAGGCAGGTCCCAGTCTGAGTGGCAGCCATCTTGTAAGGTCTGGAGATCTTGTTGGCGACCAGAGTCTGGAGTTTCTGCAGCTGCTGGAGCAGGGTCCTGAAGAGGACATGGCAGTCACCTGTCAGACTCTGACCCAGCAGGCATATGCTTCCTCGAGCTCTCCCAGGGAGCACCTGGGTCGGCTCCAGACTTGGGTTCCACACCAGGCGCCCATTTCAGTCAAGACTGAAAAGGGCACCTTCCCCTTAGCTCCTCTGTGGTGTGGCTCGGGCACCTGGGGCTTGCCTTATGGTAAATAGCTGGGTCACCCTGTGGGAGCTCAGGGGTACCCCATGATGTTCCTGGCCAAGTTGGGGGTTGGTGGAGGGCCTGTCACACCTGGGCTGAGGTGACCTTTTTCTTGCCCTACACCAGGCACAGCTAAATAGGCCTTCCCTCCTCCATACCCTGGAACACATGAGCTGATAAGGACATGTCTGGCAGCAGTCTGGTATACAGTGAGTGTCCAGTAAATGGTAGCTATCTTTTTTGTTAATTTTGTTGTTGTTTTTGCTTTTGTCGCAACTGTGACACTTCATTTACTTAATGGATTTTCGTGCCAGTACCCTTCACTAACTGTGGGGCTCCCTGAGGGTGAGGACTGGGTCCCACCCAGTGCGGAATCCTGTGGGATGCTTGGTCCACACTTGGTGAACAAATGTTTAATCTTTCTTCCACTTAACCCGGTGGTGGGGTTGCAGTTCCAAGAATGTACAGCAGGCGGCGAGGTAGCTCCAAGGGCCTGGCCCTATTTGGGGCGGCTGAGGAATCTGGGCCAGAGGTAGAGAGGTGTGGGGTAGGGGCTCCTTTTCTCCTTCCCTGAATAGGGTGGCATTCTCCAGGTCAACCAGGGCGGGGTGGCTAGATCCCCCTGGAGAAGCTGGGGGAGAAGGAAGGAAAGAAGGAAAAAGCCTTCTGTTGAGCACCTTGCGGCATACATTCCAACTGTGTCTGTTATTGTAATTAATCCCAGCAAATTTAAAGACCTATTGTTGGATCATGGCTGGGCACTTTAAGAATTCAGAATAATAACAATTGAAAGGGAAGAAGAAAATCTAACATGAATTGAGCATGCTTAAAAGTCAAAGCACAGTGCTGGCCCTTTTGCTTGCACTGTCGCATCAAATCTTCACATGAATCCCAGGAGACAGTGTTTCTAGCATCTGCATTCAGACAAACTGGGGCCAGAGAGGTTTGATGGTTTCCCCAGAATCACAAAAATGGCAGAGCTAGATAAGAATCCCTAGCTGTGACTTTATATAGTTACTATGTACCAGGCCCTGAGTAGGCTCTGAACTAATGTTTCTTAGAGTTAACTGTATATGAGAATCACCCAAGGGTCTTGCTGGAATGCAGATTCCAACTCGGTAAGTCTGGGGAGAGTCCTGAGACTGTATTTCTTACCAACCCGCAGGTGATGCTGGTGCCGTGGGACCAAGAACTCGCTTTCATAACGAGCATCCACACTAGTGGTTCTGACTCTGGGAAGCATCAGAATTCCCAGAGAGCTTATTACACCCAGATGGCTGAGCCCTCCCCCTGGAGCTCCTGATTCAGTAAGTCTAGCCTGAGGCCTGAAAATAAGCATTGCTACAAGTTCTCAGGGGATGCTGCTGTTGGTTTGAGGATGACACTTGGAAAACCATTGCTCTTTCCATCTCATTTAAGCATATCACCAGCTGTCAGGTACTAGAACTATATGAGATGAAGGATAGGAAGCCCAGCGCTGCAGGCTGCAGGGTCCCTGGCATCCTGAACTCATTGCCTCTCCTTTCTCTTGCCTGCCAGAGCTATGCCAGAGCCAGGCACTGGCTGCAGAAGGGCAGGGGCCAGGTGGGATGCAGGTGGCACCACCCACCTGTTGGCATTCTCCAGGGACTCCACCTTCTTCCACAGTTCATTGTTCTCTGATGTAAATGTCTCTACCCTGCGGGGGTCAAGCAGGCACAGGCTCAGGGGCAGCCCTCAGACTCACTGCTGCCCACCAGCATCTCACCCCGTGTCCCTGTCCCTGGTGCCCTGTGAAAGAAGAATGGGGAGAGCAGGGCAGGCAGGGGTGTGAGGCCAGGCCACCCCACCCCCTGAGCCCACTCCGGACTCACTTCTTTTCTAGACATTCCACATACTCCTTCTTCTTACGGCGGCTCTCCTGGGCTGAGATCTAGAGGGGGATGCCCCAAAATGGCAGTTACTGCAGCCCCATGACTCCCAGGGGCCCCCAAATGTCAGGGCTGGCATCAGGGGAGCAGAGGCCCCCACCCCTTGTAGAAGCCCTGGGCAGGGCCTGAGTCTGTCTGGCTCATGCTTTACCTTGTTCTTGATTTTTCTCCGAACCCTCTTCAAGGCCTTCTCCTCGGCCTTGGTGAGGGGGAGTTTTGTGGGGATGGGGTAGCCCTCAGCAATCAAGGTACGCTTCTCCTCCTCAGTCAGGAGCAGTGGCCCGGATGTCCCTTGTAATTTCTGTGGGAAGTAGGACACGATGGTTGGAATCAGACAGCCCTGGGTTCAAATTCAAGCTCTGCCATTTACTCTTTGTGTGACCTGGCGAGGCAATCTACCCTCTGAGACTCAGTTTCCTAATTTGGAAAGGGGCAGATCTGAATTAAATCCAATTACATGTATCAAGTGCCTAGATGGTGCTGGGAGCCCAGCACATTAGACACTCCAGTATATTGTTGGGGGAGGTGAGGGGCTCCCTAGATCCCATCCTGGAACCCACAGCCTCAAAGCTTACTTGTCCAGGGCCCCCTAAATAGCACCCCCCTCAAACCCTCCCCAGTCTTGACTTGGGAGGCTCCACGTCCATCCCAGGGCTCAGGGCCTAGCTTCGAGTCCTGGGGCATTCTGGGCCTCCTGAGCACTGCTCCCCAGAAAGTGCTCCTCAGAGGCAGCCTGGGCCATCCTCCTGGAGGTCAGGAATGCCAAGTTCTAGTTCTGGCTCTTCAGCAGTCTTTGGCAGGCCTTTTGGACCTCTCTACTTGTTTCCTATTCACCTCAAGGTAGGATTAAAAGATGCTTACTCGGGTTTGGCAGGCAGGCACCTCTCTAAATTCTGATGGGGGTGGGATCAGGCTTGGGGGTCCCCAGCCCCTTCCCCACTGGTCATGTGCCAGGGTAGATTTACTCAGTTCTTTGTCTCTAGGGCCAGCCCACCCCCAGCTGCTTACGTGAGGGGCCGTGAGGAGGGGGGAAGTGGAGATGGCCGTGGAGGAGCGGGCCATGGGCCGGACAGGGCTGGAGGGGGGCAGAGAACGGGGACTCTGGGAGCCGTCACTGTCGCTGCCGTGGCTGCTGGGGGGTGTCAGAGGCATCTGCACCAGGTCCTCTGAGGAAAGTGGGGGAAGCCAGGTTAGCAGGGTTGCTCCCCAGCTCTGCTTGTTCATCAGAGTTCAGCTCAGCATGGGCCTAAGCCAGCCCTGACACTGTGGAGGCTGGACTGCTGGGACCTTGATTAGCTCTAACAGCAGAAGCCCATCTGCCATGTCAGAAAGATGAGCTGAGATCCCAGAAGCTGATTCTTTAGTGTCACCCCATCTCTGACACCACAGAGGCCTGGGTCCTTTAAGCCTGGCCTTTTGGTGTGGACATCACAGAGGATGGATTCTTGGAGGCCCCCCTTAACCCCCTACCCCATCCCTGACTTCGACAGGGTCCAGGGCCTTTGAGCTACCAGTTTGGCAATCCCAGGAGGTGACTGGAGTCTGCCCATAGCCAGACTCACAGGGATCAGCTTGGGCAAGCCACAGCCTCTGTCCCTTCCTTCTACTGCAAAATGTTTAGCTATAACAACCTAGGGGTTCCATTTCCAACTTCAGGGTAATTAGACAGCAGCACTGGGCTTTCAGCAGACCAGCCAGGAGCACTGCACTGCTCTCCCTAGCTGTGTTGCATGCTGCCTCTCTGTGGCCACAGCACCAGGAAGACCAATGCTCCGCAGCAGGTCAGGAAAGAGGACTGGGCAGCGCTGAGAGGACCAAGAGCCTAGCTGCAGGAGAGCTTCCAGGACAGCACAGATGCCCAGGAAACTCCAGGCTTGGAGGCCTAGAACTCTACTGTACCATAGGGCCTGGCTGTGGTTGTGAAGAGGCATTGCTGCCTCTGCCCAGAGTCGCCTCCTACAGGAGTCCGGTCTCACTTCTTTGACCCTATAGATGCCATAATGTAAATAGCACTGAACTCCGAGTCAGAGACACCTAAGTTTAAATTCTGCTCTTGTACCCCTAACTGTGTGACCTATAGTTCTGTTAATGAACCTCTCCCAGCCTCACTTCCCTGTATGGAGTCATGAGGATGCAATGAGCGAGCGTATGTGAAAATGCTTTATGGATTGAAGGGCACACTACAATGTAAGGTGTTTGCACTGAGGTCCTTTTCTACCTCCTATGAATCCTACCTTCTCTCCAAGGCAGTGAAAAAATTGAGGGTGAAACTTGGGCCTTACTCATCTTTCTAAACCTTGTGGTATGTAGCCCAGGGCCTGTCACATAATAGATGCTTCACTGATGTTGATCAAATTAATGAGATGGGATTGGTAAGATTCAGTGAGGCCTTCTCCTTTTGGCCAGCTCATCCCTTTCTCCTTCTGGCCAATCCAAGAGGCCCCCTTTGTTCCCTTCTTCCCCTGGTAAGTCTGGGGATGTGCTTCCAAGGCTTCCTGGGGAGCTGCCATCTCTAACCAGTATCACTGCTGTATGATGGGTGGTTTTTCTGTGACTCTCACTGCTCTGTTGTCCACTTGGGTACAGGGACTGTTCTCCCTCTGCTTCCCAGTTCCCGGAACTGGGAGATGCCCAGTGAACTCCTGTTGGATGGATGGATGGATGATGGATGATAGATGGATGGGCAGATGGCTACTGAGTGGGCTTCAGTTAGTGGATGATGGGAGGAGGACTAGCAAACAGGTGAAACGGTGGTGCTGACGATTGTAGATTTGGGACACAGAATCCCAAATTCAGGCAAATGAGTACGAAGGGGCTTGAGGGATGGACAGGTGGCAGGGTAAGGAGACGAGGTTATTCTGGTGAGAAATGGGGGGTTTCAAGGGAGATGGGTGGGCTGGACCAAGGGAGTAGGGAGATCTGTCTACTCAAGACTAGAGAGGAAGAGGCCCTCTCTGGACACACTTACCTGGTGTCACTTTGAGGAACTGGCTGACCTCCTGGGGCTCTGCTTTGATCGCTGGCAGCTGAGTCATCTCTCCTGGGGCCTGATGAAGAGATAAGTCCAGTTGCCCCAGCTGCCCCTGGGGTTGTCCCTACTGTGCCACTCAACCTTCCACCCTCCCCTGGTGGCCTGTCTTGCACAATTAAGAGGGTAGTTGGGCACAGGGTTCTGGGCACAGTCCAGAGGGATCAGAGGCAAGTTGTCATGCTTGGAGAAGCTAAGTCAGACCCAAGAGAAGAGAATGGTGGCCAAATAGTTAGTGTAGTCCAGTCCTTAAACTCAGAGGATGAGAGTTTCCTGTGGCCTTTGAAGCCTGGGTCATCTTTTGGGTGGAGGCTGACCCTACACTCACTGCGGAGGCCACATTGGCCTCGGTACACAGCTTGTCTGGCATTGTACCTGCTCAGTAAATGGTAACAACAGCACAGGATGAAAGACACATTAACTGGCTAGGGGCTCAGAGAAAGCTCTCTGGTAGCTGAAGTTTGAAATGAGTCTGAAAGTATAAATTAGAGTATTCTTGGTGAAGGAGGGGCCAGGTACTTAAGTGAGATGACATTCCAAGCAGAGGGAAAAGCAACTGCAAAGGTGTAGAAGCTAGAAAGCGTGGCTGGGTCTGGAAACTGCAAGTTTTCAGGGTGTTCAGAGTGTAGAGATGTGTCAGGGGTGGAGTGACGGGAAACAAGATCAGAAGATCTGGGGTGGGGGAGGCATGTCAGGGGAGAGTTCAGATAAAGAAGTTTGAAACAATGAGGAGCCCCTAATGGGTTTTAAGCAAGGGACTGATGGAATTAGACTGATGCTTTCAACAAATGTCTATTCCTATTTCTTTATATTCCAACTTGCTGTCCCAGAAAGGACATCTAGAACATGCACGGCTTCCTACACGTGATGACAACACACATATAAGTGGTGTCTCTTTGAGGAAGGCCTGTGTTGGGTGCTGGATTTCAGGACCCTCTGGATTTCTCCCCTCTGGGTCCACAGCCAGCAGAGAGAGAGAGAGATCATGATATTATCGGTGGGACGCAGAATCCCAAATTTAGGCAGATGAGTAATCACAGAAGGGTCAAGTTGGCAGGGGCCTTGGAGATTCCCTGGTCAGTCCTCAATTGACAGATTGAGGTGCAGAGGGTGACAGCACTTAGAGGGGTCACACAGCTCAGTAGCGACAATGCCAATTCCTGGTTCCTGTGCCTTCCACTTGAGTGTCATGATCTCACTACAGTGGCAAGTGTGGGCCTGGTGGGCTGACCTTGGATAGAAGCTCCATTGTTTCTGACTGGGATTTTGGACAAGTTGCTTAGCTCCTCAGTTTCCTTCTCTAAGGCATGTGCCCAAGTTCCAAGAGCCCGGCTTCCTCTGCTGTCATGCCTCCGCTTCCTGATTTGGCAAGGCCTGAGGGGTCCGTGAGTTATCTTGTAGATGGCCACAAAAGGTGTGTCACATCTGCTGCCAACCCTTATCCTTCAGGGCAGTGGTGGGGCGGGGAGGGGGCCCAGAGGGGCCCACCCTTCTTCCATTTGGCCACTTATATTTTGATTAGCCAGCAGGGGGCAGGCCCAGCCAAGCCTGGTCTCCAGGGGTTACAAGATGACCCTCACATTGTAGACTCAGGGCTAGAAGCCCCTTAGTGGCAGTTGATGCTCCCATGTTACAGAGAAGGAAGATGAGGAAGAAAAAGAAATGTAATGCACCCAGAGCACAAGTGGGAGACCAGCTGGGACCCAGGCAGGGCCTCTCCCAGGGGCCAGGGCCTCACATACCTAGAGGGGTCTTCCGATGTCAGCTTTGGTTCTATAGCTGAATGCTGTTATCTACACATTTATGGGGGTGGGAGGTGATATGAGATTGTGGGCTAAAAATATTAATCTCATGAATATAAAAAATTGAAATACAGCATAACTTTTGTATTTCCATTTTGCTCCTCCCTCCTTTTTAAAATGGCCTGGGCTGTCTTCATCTCTGAGACCCTGGACCAGGCCCCTGACGCCCAGCCCTGCCTGGGTCCCTTTCTTCCACATACAGTGAAGGCCCCAGCTTATTCCAAGGGCGCTATGGTTTGTGCCAACTCTAGGATGGTGAAGGCGCAGCCCAAGAGCTTCGCAGAAGCCTGGTCTGGGAGTTCCGACTCTCAGTCCCGAAGATCACACTGCTCCCAGGTCACAGAGCCTTGGGGTGTGCAGGGCTTTGGACACCTCTTCCCACAGAGACCCACCACCCCTTCTCCCTCCCCCAGCCCCTACAAACAGTGCCCCAGCTCACCTGGTGAGGGATGGGCAGCCTGGACAGGGGGCTGAGCCCCAGTAGCGGGGTGGTGGCCATGATGGTGGTGGTGACCACAGCTGAGGAGGCTGCCAGGGGGTCCGTGGGCAGCTCTGGGCTTTGCTCCTGCTTCACCATGACGGAGCACAGTTTGTGTCCCAGCACCCATGCTCCATGTCCCATGTCTGGGGAAGGGGGCAGGACCCAGGCTCAGGGGACTCCCAGAGCAGAGGGCTCTGCCCCATTCCTTCCCTGTAGGAGCTTCTCTGGAATGGACTGAGGAAAGATGCTAGGGTATACTGGGGGGCAGGCAGGAAAGGGCGGGGGTGATGGTGGTGGTGGTGGTAGTGGCACTTGTAAGGTGGAAAGGAGGAGTGAGTGAGGGTCAGAAGAGGTGAGGGGACAGCATCCCAGAGGCCAGCATCTTCTTCATTCAGCAGCACATGAAGAAGGCTTGGACAACAGACCTAGACCCCTCCTGACTGGCTGTGTGACCTTAGGTGATGTGCTTAACCTCTCTGAGCCTTAGCTGCCTCATCTGTAAAAGTGACTGACAAGAAGTAAATGTTCAATAAGTGGTAGCTATTATTGATAAAATTATTGCTGTTCAGTAAACATTTGCTGAACACTCTGCCAGGCAATGGGGACCTAGTGAGAGTCACAAGCACTTTAGTGTGGTTGGAATGGAAAGGGAAGGGGAAGATGGGGTGAGGGATGCCAGCAGGGGTGGCATGGCCCCGAGGGTAGGCTTTAAGCTATGATTTTTGTCCTAAAGGTCATGGGAAAGCACTCAAGAGTTTGAAGCATGCTCAGATTTGTAATGTTAAAAAGATCACTCTGCCTGTGTGTGGAGACTAGACTGGCTGCAGGCAAGTTGAAGGCAGGGAGACTGTAGAGGACTTTAAAATCATCCAGCAAGAGAAGATGAGGACTGAGCATGGGAAGTGGCAGTGGGGATGGAGAGAAAGGAACACACTGAGATAAATTTAAGGAAGACTCCACAGGACCTGGTGACTGGGCCATGTTGTGAATGAGGGGTGAGTCTGTTCCCAGGGTAGCATCGACCACCTGCCCAACCAGTGAGTGGGCCTCCTGGCCACAGGCTGGCAGGCATCACTCCTTTTCCTTATAAACACCTAGAGTCCTCTATCCCAAGTCAGCCCTGCTTAGGATGGCCCCAGTACCTAGCAGCCAGAGAAACAGCAGTGAGGCAGGGCTCTGGGGAGCCACCATGTAGGGGGAGGACTAGAAGGGACTCTGGCCTCTGGGGCCTGCTGTGGTTGGGGAGAGGGGTCAACAGCTGGCTGCCTGATCCCACTTCAGAGTCCAGGCCCCACCCTGCAGCCCCTGGGCTCCAGGAACACCTACAATCTTCCCAAATTACAGGGCCAGGCTGCCGGCCTCCGGGAAGCTGGCCCCTACAAGTGGCCCACAGACAAACTGCTCTAAAAATAGACTTGGGGTGGCCAAGCAGTGGCTGGGTTAGCACAGTGGGGGTTGATGAAGAATGTGCCATGGGAGGGAGTCCACCCCACACCCTGCCCTGTCCCCGGCTAGGGACTGAGGCCTCACTGAGGTGACTTCCAGAGGCTTGGCTGAGGCCAGGGCATGCAGGGAAGCTGAGACCTCCACAGTCACAAGCTCTGGAGCCATTTAAAACCCCAGAAGGTGTTCCTTCCCTCACAGGGGCAGGGGGTAGGTGACATACAAAGTCCTGTCCCTGCCCATGGAGTCTCAGAGATCCTCAGAAGCAGCTCATACTTCTTACACTGAGTGCAGCTCTCAGTCCTTGATACCCATGAAATAATTTATTCCTCCCAACAATCCTATGGGGCAGGCACTGTTACTCTCCCCAGTTAATAGATGAGAATATTGAGAAACTGACTCAAGACCATGGTCCTTTGAAGGGAAAGAGGAATAAGAACCCTCTTTATTATTCTAGCCATTATAGTTTTAATAGGACTTTTATATGCATAATGAAAATAGCCACTAGTTATTGATATATATATTATGTCTGGAGCACTGAGCTGGGTATTTGATGTATATATATTTAAATCCAGGCCAGAATTCTCATGGTATGTAGTATCTTCATTTTAGAATTGAGGAACTGAGGCTGAGAGGTTAAGTAACTTGCCCGAGATCACACAGCAGGTAGTGGAGGTACCAGGATGCACATCAAAGCCTGTTTGTTTCCAACCCAGTACCCCTTACTGCCCCTTGTGCTGGCAAATGTGGTGGTGGCAAGGGAGGTTTAGTATCAAGGGGCTTTTGGGCTTCCGAGTCCCTGTTCTGCATTTTACTGTGTGTGACCTAAACAACTTGGCTTTTCAGAATTCATTTTCCTTATGAGACAAAAGGGGATTATGATAAAAGTGATTCCTACTTCCCCTGTGAGTTATGAGAAATAAATGAAATAATTAATGTTTTTATACTCATTTGTAGATGGAGAAACTGAACCTTATAGGGGTCAAGAGACATGACCATGATCACCTAGCCAGATAGGACGGCGCCAGGACTAAATGCCCAAAGGGACCATTTCCAGGTGGGGCACAGTCTGGAGTTCTCGAATGTTGATTACCTGAAAGGAAAGACTCAAAGAGGCCTTTGCTTAAAAGGGGGCTGGGGGCACAGGGGAACTTCAGAGAACCCTTCCTTCAATTATTAAATTAGGGTGCAGACATGTCTCCCAGGTAGTATCTCAGAGGCCATTAGAGTATGGGGAGGTGGGAAGGTTCTAGAGACTTGGTAACTCGCCCACATTTACTGTTTCTTCCCCTGACTATTTCCTCTAAGTCAGTGGTTCTCAAATCCAAGCTTGTGTCAGAATCACCTGGAAGGCTGAGCCCTATCCACAGGGTTTCTGATCCAGCAGGTCTGGATGGGACTGAGAATTTATATTTCTAACAAGGACCCTGGTGATACTGCTGGTCCAGGATCCAGCGCCTGCTTGCCCCAATCTAAATCAGCAAAAACCTTTTTGAGAAGTGCCCATACTGGTTTGATCTGAGAAAGAATGAAAAGGCAGCCCTCCCCTGGAGAAGTGTTTGTGGGCAGCCCCTTTGGGAGCCTCTGGGAGTCTCAGCCTGCAGTGCCTGCCTCTGATTTCTCAAAAGCTTCCTCCCCTCCTGGGCCTTCTGGGCCTGTGCTATCTCTGGGCCCTTCTACTTTTACCTTGGGTGGTGTCCTCCATCTTGATGGGCACAAGGGGGCTCTGAGGTGCTGAATCACCGCTCAGGGAGTAGCTGTGCTCAGCCTGGATGCCTGGTGTGGGGGAGTCCAGTTCCATGTCCAGTAGAGGGCTCTTCTCGTCCAGCACAGGGTCATCAAAGAAACTGCTGAACAGGTCATTGGAGAAGTCCTCCATGTTCTCTGCAAAGTGGTCCAGGTGCTCAGGGAAGTGCTAAGGAAGGAGGTGGGGAGGTTGGGGAGTTAGCTTACCTTGGGAAGAGGGTACAGATGCTGCTGTGGTGGGGCCTCCGGCCCTGCTACCACCACCTCCCATTACTCTTCTTGTCATCATTAACACCACCACTACTACCCACCTAACCACTACCCACATCGCCAGTACCCACCATTACCATTTCTATCCTTACTATTGCCACTGCCACCACATTATCTCCGCACCCACAGCCACTGCCATCTCTAGCCTCACCATCATTATCTTCAAAGGTGAGCTGTGGAGGGTATGAAAGCATCCCTGGACCAGGTGACAGGACACTGGGTTCTAATTCTGGCCTTGTGACCCTTGGTTAAACTGTTTTAGATTGCCTGAGACTGTTCCTTGGTCCACCCTACTTCCTTCATGGGAAGGCTAAATAAAAGAGTAACTGTGTGTCTATGCCAGTGATGGGCACCCAAAGGCAGTATTACTGACTTTTGTATTATCTTTTGCTGGAATGCAAGGTGGTGGGATTATGGAGGCTTTCATTCCCCTCATCATCATAGCCCCCACCTGCCCTCGTGCCTCTAGTGTTTCCCTCTTCCAAGCCATTCTTTACACCAAGAGATTAGGCGCTTGGGAGCCATATTACTTGGGTTTGAATCCTGGCCTTGTTACATCTAGCCATGACTCAGTGCCATTCAAACAGTGGGTGGAGGTGACTCATTAATGGGTTGTGAAATCAACTTACTAGGTCACGACCAGAATCGAAGAAAAAATAAAACACAACAAAATAGAGCAGGCAATATCAGAGTGCATTGCACATAGTGAAGTTAAATACCTGGTGAAATTTTCATCTCAGTTGTGTGTGTGTGTGTGTGTGTGTGTGTATGTATATATACTTGGTAATGATGTAAAATATATTTTTCTGAAACCAAGAAGTATGAAAAATATTGGTTGATCCTGGGAAAGTTAATTAACCTTTCTCTGTTTCATTTCCTCCTTTGTACAGTTAGGATTGATGTGAGAATTAAACAAGTTAATACACATAGAGCACTTAGAACAGTCCCTGTTACATAATAATTACTCAATAAATGTTACCTCTTATAGTATTAATATCAATAAATATTAATGTTTTATATTATATTGTATAATATGAATCAAGCACCCAGTGACTGGTAGGTACATTGTAGGTGCTTATTTTTTTTCTCCCTAAAAAATTATAAATACGTAAGGAAATGTTACTGCTGTTCATTCATTATTTACTGACTAAGGGAACGTGCTGGTTGGAAAGGGTTGGAAGAGATGGGGGGGCGCTTTGCTTCAGTCCCTGGGGTCCCACCTTGTGAGCAATTAAGGACTGGCTTCTGGGGGATTGATCCAAGGTCTGGAGTTGTCAGCCCTTTCTGTCATGGAATATTCAGAGCCTGCCCCCATCCAGAAGGGTTGAACAGAACAGCCCTCTAAGAATGGTTCAGACCCACATGAGTATCTGTCTGCAGGGAGCAGGGGATGAGTACAAGGTCTGCAGTCAGATAGAATGGCTTTTGACTCCTAGCTGCACTACTTGCTAAGTTACTTTACTTCTCAGTGCCTCGGTTTCCTCATCTGTAAGGGGAAGTAATAGTTCCTACCATATAGCATTGTCATGAAGATCAAGCATTTGTTAGGTGCTTATTACTCACCTTATAGGCTGAGGAAAGATGAGTAAGTATGTATAACGTGTACATACAACATACACATACAGTAAATACATATAACAGAATGGTGCCTAGTATGGATTTAGTACTCTATAACTGTTAGCCTTTATTATTATGAAAACTGTAGCTCCTAAAAGCCTTACTCTGGCCTTAGCTGAGCTGAGCTTGAAGCCGATACAGGGAGGTGGTCTTTTCCCCAAGCAGACCATGATCACAGAACCCAGGACAAAATAAGTATAGAAACCCATTGACTTAGATATTCTCCCTTCTTCCCAGTTTGCCAGAACTTACCACCATGATACTACATTTCTGTTGTGGTTTTGACCTTCTGAAGTGCTTTCATATGCATCATCTTATTTAATCCTTACAATTACCCAGTGAGATAAGGAAGTTGCATACCTGTATTTGACAGATAGGGAAACCGAGGCCCTTGGGAGCCAAGTAGAACAGGAAGCATCCACAATCCCTCATACCCAGTCCTTCCTCAACTACAGTAGACACTTCCCCTGTTCAAGAATTGCCTGTTTGCCACCCTGTGAACCTAAGCCAAGGTCTGTATCTTGTCCACCTGCTGGATCCCAGCACCTGGCTCATGGTAACTACTGATGGAGGGACAGGGCCTTGTACCCTGGAGGGCAATGCCATCAGTATATCAATTGTCCATCAATGCTGGGGTGAGTCAGTACCAGGAGGTCAGAGGCCTCAGCTGAGCAGCCTCTTAAGAATAACCAATCCCACATGAAGGCCATTTGCTGGGTACAACCAACCCCACCTCCACCGCACTGCTGCAACAGGCTGGATTATGCTAAAAACACCCTCCCCAGAGCCTGGGCAACTCAGCTGGGGGCGCTTTCCCCCTGTTCTTTCTTTCCCTCTCAGGGTCTCTCAAAGGCCTGGTGTGGGGGCCAGTGGGAGGCGGTTGTGAAGAAGGGAGGGCAGTGAGTCAGCTGCTAAGGTATTTCTCCAGCAGCTGCTTCTCAGGCGATAAGGGTTTGCCAAGCCCTTTCCTGGGGCCTGGGAGAGGGGAGACACTTCCTCCAGTCTGGGTTGCGGTCCCTGGAAGTCTTGGCTCCAGGCAGATGAGACAGATTCTTCTCAGAGACCCCTCTGGGGTACCCACAGGAACCTGCTAAGGGAGGTCAGTTGGCCCCCTTTTGTGAGCAGCCCCCACCCCATCTGCTGTAAACAGCAGCCAAAGCTCAGCGGGATGGAACTTCCAAAGGGTGGGAGCCAAGGGGAGGGCAGCCAAGGGGCAGGCAGACTGGAGGTGGAGGGCACTCAGAAATCCCCTTCCTCCCTCCTCAGAGCTTCCTGGTGTGCTGGGCAGATCTCTGGCAGCAGTGGTGAGCATGTCTCATCACCCACAGGAACACCTCCTGCTCATGGGAGAGTGCCAGAAAGGACTCCCTTTAAAGAGCTTTGTAGCCCTACTTGTATCTGGTGCCTGTCTTCTCAGAGCAGCTCAGTTATGGTTGGTTTATATCATCAATTTAGAGGCAGAAGGGACCTGAGAAAGCCTGTGGTCCATGTCCCCCACCCTCTTTACTAATGAGGAAACTGAGGTCCAGATAGGGGAAGCCACTTACCCAGGGTCACACAGTAAGTTGGTGATCACAAGAGGGGTTCTCTGCAGCTCTGGGGCTGCACAGGAATGTGGGGCACTTTCTCCTGTTGTCCTCTCACTTATTCCTCTGTACCATCTTCCTTCCAAACCTGGAAAGCCCACTTTGGAGATCTCTTGCCTCCAAAGCTGCAGTTCCCCACCAACACACCCAGCTCTTCCTACAGTTCACATACGAAAGCTGAGGTTTCAGACTATCCCATGGAAATTACTGGAGAGGTGGGGGTGGGCAAGAATCTAGAAACGGCAGGGAGTCGTGGGTCAGCGTTCACAGAGGGCTAGGGTTCTTTTGGGGTTAAACGTCCCTTGGGGTTGCTTTTCCAGGCACCAGGGGTGGGAAGCCAAAGAAGGAAATATTATGATTTGTTTCCCTCCTCGTTAAATACTTTTTCCTACAGTCTTGCCAACATAAGCTCCTTCTCAGCTGCCATGCGCAGCCGGCGCCGGTTCTATTCTCTTGGAGGAGAGGTCCGGGCCTCTCCTGGTCTCAGTCCCGCGCATAACTCCCCTCGACTGTACCTCCTCCTGGAGCGGGTGGCGCTCGTCCGCTCTTCAAATTTAAGGACGGACTCGGTCCTGCCTGCTCGACGCGGCCCCGCAAGAGGTTAACGCAGCGCTTTAGGGGCAGCCCGCGACGGAATCCGGCCTGCTTATTGGTGGACTCCGCGGAGCGCCTGGCCAATGGGAAGAGGCTGCGAGGAGCCCTCAGCTGTGCTGGGAGAGAGCGGGAGGAGGGCTCCCGCGTTCCTCCGCTTGGACAGGGAAAGGGCTGGGTGTGGGTGGCCCCCGGCTTGTGTCCCCTTGTGCGCCTGGAGCAGAGGTAGAAATGACTCCTTTTAGCTTCAGGTGGGCTCTGCAGTACCACGGTGTCCTAGGACTGATCAGCTGCCTAGTCTCCACCTGCACTGCTAACAGTGGGAATTGTAGGACGTCCATCGCCTGAAGGGGGTATCAGGCCCCAGTTCTTAAGTTCTTTCAAGGCACTTCTGGCTCGGCTCCTTCTGTCCCTCCTCGAATAATCCTACGGCAGGGTGCATTGACGGGGCAGTGGGGACTGTCCTGGTGGGTGGAGGAGGGACACTCCTGGGGAGGTAATAGGACCAAAGCTCCTCTCTGTTCCCCTCTCCTGATTTCTCCATTGCGGTCAATGCGGAGAGGGAGATGGGCTCTGGGGACAGAGCTGTTTGCTGAGGGGGTGTATGGGAGAAGGATTTTCCCAGACCTGAGACAGCCTCAAAGCACTCCCTTCCCTCAGGTTCCTAGGCCCAGGGCCTCTGTACCCCTCCCTATCCCTGGCTTCTGCCTCTCCCCTGTGCCAGGCTGATCCACTCTGTGTTTGGGGAAAGGAGGGAGGAGACCAGAGTGGGTACAGGCTGAGCTGTGGGAGAATGGAGTGGGGGGGAATCCTGAGCTCGGACATTCCTTCTGAGAGGGTGAGCTCTGGGGAGAGATGGGAGGAGAGTCTTCTCATGTTTCTTCCTTGCTTTCCTGTGCAGGCTGGGCCCACACAGCTCCCCTCCCCAACACTGACCCATACATTCCCGAACAGTTACTTGCCTCGTGGTCACTAGAAAATTGCCCCCATTTTAAGCTGAAGGGCCATCAGTCTGAGTCACTGCTGTGTGCTGAGTGTGTGTTGTGGGGAGTATGGTCAAGAGAGAGCAGGGAGAGACTTAAGAGAGGGGAGCTGAGCCCCTAGG